AGAGAATGATGTAACGAATCCACATCACCTAGTTGTAATATTAATCAATATTTCACTAACCTTTTCCATTCTTGCACTTCCTCTCTTAGTAATTATAACTATGTTAAAGTAACTATATCATAAAAGTGTGTGAAAATACTGTGGAAACACATGGAAGACAGTGACTAAACGTGGCCAGCATTGAAGGGTCTTCAAAGAGGAGGTAGCATTGGCAGAAACTTTAAGGTCAGGTAGAGAATGGAAAGAGTATTTCTAGTGGGAGGACTAACATGTACAAAAGGGTTTTTAAAAGCATGGCATATTCAAAGAAGGGGAAATAGATTACTGTGGCTGGAATATAGAGATTATCATGTATGAGTGTCAGTATATGATTCTAAAAAGATGGCTTGGTGCCAAATCATGAATGGACATGTATATATCGTATCAAGAAATTTGGTGCTTATTACATAGGTACCAGGAAATGAAGAATATGATTAGTTTTGAGTTTTTAAAATAGAACAGTGACAGTAACATTTTTGGAGTATGGGATGAAGAGGGAAGGCAGTAAACTGGGCCAATGGTTCAAGTAATTAGAAAAGCATTTGGTGATAGCAATAGTCGTTTTAGGCAAGGGGAGATAAGATTAAGAGAGATTTCAGGGGAAGAATCAACATGATTTGGTGCCTGGCGAGGATGTGGAAAAGGGAGATAGTCGTAGAATGACTTGAGTAGATATGATGATGCCAGGATTAAAGTAATACAGCAGAAGACTGGTTTGGAATAAGGGCATATGATGAGCTTGGTGTTTTAAGTTTGAAGTGCTGATAGGTCATTCAGGTAGAGTATTCATTGTGCCAAGTGGAAATATAGAACTGGACCATAAGAGAATCTCACACTAGGGAGTTCTATAACTTGCCTTTCCTGCTAAATATGTCATATGTCACAAGTTCATATATATATAAGACTATATATATGTAAGTATTCATATACATACATGTACATACACAAGTTAATCCTTATTATTCACTAATTGCATATTTGCAAATTGGCCCACTTCCTAAAGTTTATTTGTAATCCCTAAATCAGTACTTGCGGCGTTTTTGTAATAATTTGCAGGCATGCTTGCAGTGGTAAAAAAAATTTGAGTCACCTGATGTGCAGATTCTCAGCTGTAGTTGAACAAGGTGATACTCTAGATACTCTGCCTTCTTGTTTTGGTTCTTATACTGTAAACAAGCATCCCTTTTGCAGTCTACTTAATGCCACATTTTTCACATTTTCTGTGCTTTTTTTGGGTAATTTTGCTTTTTTAAGCAAATGGCCTCCAGTGTTGTGCCAGAGTGCTGTGTAATATTCCTAAGTGCAAGAAAGCTGTGATATATCTATACAAGAAATATGTATGTTAGGTAAGCTTCTCTCAATCATGAGTTATGCTTTCAGCCATTATTTCAGTGTTAATGAGTAAATATATATTAAGTAAGATGTCTTTAAACAGAAATACAGATAAAACAAGGTTATGTATTGGCTGGTTGATGAAAATGTTGTGACCAGAGGCTCCTAGAAACCTAACCATCTTTCCTGTTTCCCCTAGAAGCAATGGTTCAGTGTTCAGTAACTCAGTGTTTGTGGCAATTTAATAGACCATAACTACCACAGATAACAAGAATCAATGTGTGCGTGTGCATGTGTAGAAAATTTGCTACTCTTTTATAAATAACCCTTATATTTGTACAATGTAAGCATTAGTCCCAATTTATGCTTGAATTTTTTTTTTTTTTTTGAGACAGAGTGTTGCTTTGTCACCCAGGCTGGTGTGCAGTGGCACAATCTCGGCTCACTGCAAGCTCTGCCTCCTGGGTTCACACCATTCTCCTGAGTAGATGGGACTACAGGCACCTGCCAACACACCGGGCTAATTTTTTGTATTTTTAGTAGAGACGGGGTTTCACTGTGTTAGCCAGGATGGTCTCGATCTCCTGACCTCATGATCCGCCCACCTTGACCTCCCAAAGTGCTGGGATTACAGGCGTGAGCCACTGCGCCTGGCCATAACTGTCTTTTTTAGTGAAAAATAAATGCATACAAGATGAAAACAGTTTGCTATTTCAGATCAGATGGATGATTCTATATTCCTTAAGTCAGAAGGTTTTTCATAAAATGGAATATTGAAGAAGTACATGTGACATTGACTGACAGCATTTAAATGATCACCTATAGCACACTTGAGCATAATGTGGTTGTCAGCATCATATTGGTGGACCGCCAGTTTCTTTTATGGTTGATGTTATTCTCTTTAGCAAGCTTGCAACATTATCAGTCCCTTTTCTCTTAAAGAAATTTATTTTATAACAGTGTTTATGTGTGAGGAGATTTCATAATCGAAGACTAGTGTGTGTGTGCATTCATATCTGTCAATTTGCTTGAATATGACAGCTCAAAAGCATTTTTTAACCTTTCATTCACAAATGTTGATTCATATCAGTAGGGGTGTTTTAAAATGACAGGTATTATGTGAGAATGAGAATTACCCATACTTTCTGACATATCAGTGTTATGTTGAAAATTAACATTCAGCTTTGTATCTCACATTTTATTGTCTGCAAATCTGAAAGCAGGGAATTGGCATTTACAAAGTCAAGGACAAGCCAACATACAACCCCATGCATTGACTGTTATACTTCAAAGTGATTCTGTGCTTGTTAACATATGTCTGTTTCCTAATCATCATCTTCCTTGGTATAGAAAATATGCCTTTGTTATTGTCTTATATGGCTATATAGTTAAATGCTTAAAATAAAAATAATATAGACCTACATTTAGAGATTCTTCAGTTTGGGGTGGCTGATTTATTTGTGCTGCTTATGTTTCTGACTTGATCTTCTTCTGACTGATTCTGTAGGCTTCTAACTAAGGTATTAGGGTGAATGCTTTCTGTCTTTACTGCAAACAGTAGATTTTATGTCATCAAGAGTAGTTATCCAGCCTGGGTAACAAGGCAACACCCCATCTCTACAAAAAAAAAAAAAAAAAAGGAAAGAAAAGAATTAGTCAGGCATGGCAGTATGCACCTGTAATCCCAGCTACCAGAGAGGCTGAGGTGGGAGGATTGCTTGAGCCTGGGAGGTGGAGGCTGTAGTCATCCATGATCACGCCACTGCACTCCAGTCTGCCAGTCTGGGCAACTGAGTGAAAAAAAGCAAAAGGAGAAGGAGAAGAGAAGGAGAAGGAGGCTTATGCCTGTAATCCCAGCACTTTGGGAGGCTGAAGCGGGTATATCACTTGAGGTCAGGAATTTGAGACCAGCCTGGCCAACATGGTGAAACCCTGTCTCTACTAAAAATATAAAATTAGCCAGGCACAGTGGTTCATGCCTGTAATCCAAGCACTTTGGGAGGCCAAGACAGGTGGATCACTTGAGGTCAGGAGTTTGAGACCAGTCAACATGATGAAACCCCATCTCTACTGAAAATACAAAAATTAGCTGGGCATGGTGCTGGGCACCTGTAATCCCAGCTACTCTGGAGGCTGAGCTGGGAGAATTGCTTGAACCCAGGAAATGGAGGCTGTAGTGAGCCAAGATTGTGGACTGCACTGCAGCCTGGGCAACAGAGAGAGACTCCATCTCAAAACAAAATTAGCTGGGTGTGATGCCAGGCTCCTGTAATCCCAGCTACTGGGGAAGCTGAGGCAGGAAAATTGCTTGAGCCTGGGAGGCAGAGGTTGCAATGAGCTGAATCATGCCACTGCCCTTTAGCCTGGGCAACAGAATGAGACTCTGTCTCAAAAAAAAAAAAAAAAGTAATTATAACAGCATCTTTTTCTCCTTATTTTTGGTAGATGACCTTAATATTCACTCTTCACATGGAAATAATTCATAGATTTATTCTTCCGCACTATGACTAGTGTATTATTTTAAGTGTTTTGATTTCTTTTCTTTTTTTTTTTTGAGACAGAGTCTGACTCTCTCACCCAGGCTGGAGTGCACGATCTCGGCTCACTGTAACCTTCGCCTCCTGGGTTCAAGCAATTCTCTCTGCCTCAGCCTCCTGAGTAGCTGGGATTACAGGCTCCTGCCCCCATGCCCCACTAATTTTTGTATTTTTAGTAGAGATGGGATTTCACCACGTTGGCCAGGCTGGACTGGAACTCCTGACCACAGGTGATCCACCAGCCTTGACCTCCCAAAGTGCTGGGATTACAGGCGTGAGGCACTGTATCTGGTTGTGTATTTAAGGATTGATGCTTTTTAATTATATTGCATTTAGAAAGCAAAGTATTTGCAGTTGAAATCCTCTGTGAATTTAACATCAAGCATACTATATTTTCACTTTCCCTGCTTACTTGGAGCAACCTAATGTTCTAGTATTAAAGATTGTTTTCTAAGATTAATCAGCCCTTGATCTAATTGAAAGAGAGTCGTATGTTACCTTATTCCAATTTCAATAAACTATTATGCAATATAGAGATGTGTTATAATTTGAGAGTTTTGTGTAAAGTTCTTTGGTAAGTGCTAATTCAGTGGGAATATCTTCTTAAATCTATAAGGATGCAGGGAAGTGACTAAAAGATGAAAATATTTCTCTAATGTATCTCTAATGGAAGTATAGGATAGTACCTAAATGTCACCTTTGCCATATGGTTTCAGAAAAAAATACTTGAGGGTCTTTGGTGAATTATTGATTGTAGTATGTAAGCCTCTTTTTTTTTTTTTTTTTGAGATGGATCTAGGCTCACTGCAAGCTCCGCCTCCCAGGTTCACGTCATTCTCCTGTCTCAGCCTCCCGAGTAGCTGGGACTACAGGTGCCTGGCACCACTCCCAGCTAATTTTTTGTATTTTTAGTAGAGAGAGGGTTTCACTGTGTTAGCCAGGAGGGTCTCGATCTCCTGACCTCGTGATCCACCCGCCTCGGCCTTCCAAAGTGCTGGGATTAACCGCGCCCGGCTACTTCTTTGTATTTTTAGTAGGGAGAAGGTTTCACCGTAGTCTCGATCTCCTGACTCATGATCTGCCCGCCTCGGCCTCCCAAAGTGCTGAGATTATAAGCATGAGCCGCCACGCCCGGCCTCATTCAAATACTTTTATTTCTTCTCTTCAACAATCTGAACAGTTACTCCTTGGATCTGCCAGGTTAAGACATTTTCTCCAAGGAGACTTACTAAAATCCATTTAGTTTCCCTTTTCACTGGTTTTATGTATATGAATTATATGCTGCTTTGTCATTAGTTTGCTTAGTTTCGTTAATATTCAGTTAAATATCTCCTGAGTGCTTATTGCAATGATGTGTGAGCTTGGTGGTGTAGAGAAGTATGCTGTGGTCAGGGTTTCCAGAGAAAGTGATCTTGTACCTGGATAAGAATTTCCCATGTGTGGAAGGTAGGTAAAGATATACTGGCAAAGAGAACAGCGTGAGAATACATGGGATTGACAAATAGTTCAGTATGGCTGTGGTGCAGTAAAGTGGGAGATAGGAAATAAAGCTGAAGAGATAGGTATGAGCCTGGTCATTGAGGACTTTATACGTCACACTTGGACATTTATTCTTTGAATAAGGGACTTTATTCTGTTAGTGCTGGGTTGCTTTGAAGAGTTTGATATAATGAGGGTTTGATATATGATAGTGCTTGATGTAGCAAAATTTTATTTTAAATCAATCGTGTTGGCAGAAGTATGTAAACAAATTTGAGGTAGGATAAAAGTAGAGATGGGGAGATGAGTTAGGTTACTGATTTGGTCATATTGAAAGATAACTTGGATTTGGATACTATTAATAGGGATGGAATTGAGGAAATAGACTTGGAAAGTGTTTAAAGTAGAAATCAGTAAGAATTGAAGATGACTGGTGAAGTGTGAGATGATTGCCAGACTTTTGGCTTAAGAAGTTAAGGGGCTGTGGTTCTGCTGTGACAGGGACTTTAAAAAGGAACAGATTTTAGGAAAAGATGAACAGCTCAGTTTGGGATATACTGAGTTTTTGCCTATAGTATCTTCAGTTAGAAACATCCAACAAACAACTGGATGTAGGAGTCTGAGGCTCAGGTGAAAGGTCAGGATTCAGGGTATTCATTTGAGTTCCTCCCAGTCCTGGGAGGAATACAGAAAATGTGAGTAGAGTGTGAAGTAGACAAAACCCTGAACCCTAGGAGGAATGAGAAAAAGAGGAACACAAAAAGGAAACTAGGAAGGAAAAACTCTATGTCTTTGCCTAATTACTTTTAAAAGGAGGACAACTTTATCCTTTTTGAATAACTCTTTAAGCATTCTTGAATAGTAGGATATTATATAATGTTATGTAGTAGATAATAAATGTTTAAGTTTGCCACTTATTTTGTTCAGCTGGAAAACATTTCATATACTTGGAAATTGTGTTTTTATATTTTATCCATTTTCATTACTTAACAAATATTTTTTAATTCATATCATTTCATGAGCTGCTATGTACTAGGCACCATGAAGTCTCCTATTCTGGTTTTGTTGTGAGAGTTACTCTGACCCGAAGGCACTGATTTGCACTAAATTTTGCATGGTCAGTCTTATGTGGATTAATATGGTAGTTGAACATCGTCCTCTTCCTGAGTACAGTGTGGCCTTATTTAATCTTTTTCATCTCTCTGGGTCACTATTTCTTCATTTTTCTTAAGTCTATTCATGTTTTAAAACTCAAGAACAGTGTCTACCAACAGGTTTTAGAGATCCACAGGGTACATGACTGGGTTTCATGACTCAGCTGAAATTATATGCAAGATATGATGCATATATATACATTTTTATGAGGATGCAATTTATAGCTTCTTTTGGATTATCAAAGTTTTATATAACTCACCACTCACCTTCCACCCAAAAGGTTAAGAACTATAGGAACCGAAAGTATTTTTGTGTAATGTATTATAATAAACTACACTGTTTCATGCAACCCCTGAATAGTGAAGTTATCTTTAACAGAGGTATTGCTATTCTTTGAAAGTAATTTTTTGAAGTAAGGAACAAATTTATTTTAATGCGCTATAATATATGTTTACTTTTTGGCTACTTAAGCCTATAATGTTTCTGTTATATTAACCAATTAAAACGCCTCCTAGTTATTTTATAGCTTAAAAACAAGTTCATCAAATAGAATAAGAGTTTGATTCTGCCGTATGGTGAATTAAAGAATGCTTAGTTTTAAAGAGTGATTCAAATGCCCTTTATTAAGATATCTTCCCCACTTTGCATGTTCTAAAAGGAAAATAATACTTGAGATCCATTTGTAAGGAGAGAAAAGGAAGCAACGACATAGTGCCCAGAGTTGGAGCCAATTAAACCAGGTTTGTACTTTTTCTTTCCATAACGTAACATATTTATTCTGGTCTTGAATCTCTTTTATTAATCACCTGTCTTATTCCAGCAAAAATCTAATAATTTCAAACCTTGTCATAATAGTATGGAGGAGACAAAGATGAGTAAGACATGCCCTTTTCAAACTATTTGCAACTAATGCAAAAGAACAGAAATCATAACAGTCTCTCAGACCACAGTGCAATCAAATTAGAACTCAGGATTAAGAAACTCACTCAAAACCGCATAACTACATGGAAACTGAACAACCTGCTCCTGAATGACTACTGGGTAAATAGCGAAATGAAGGCAGAAAGAAAGATGTTCTTTGAAACCAAATGTTCTTTGAGAACAAAGATACAACATACCAGAATCTCGGGGACACATTTAAAGCAGTATATAGATGCCCACAAGAGAAAGCAGGAAAGATCTAAAATCAACACCCTAACATCAAAATTAAAAGAACTAGAGAAGCAAGAGCAAACAAATTCAAAAGCTAGCAGAAGACAAGAAATAACTAAGATCAGAGCAGAACTGAAGGAGGTAGAGACACAAAAAACCCTTCAAAAAATCAGTGACTCCAGGAGCTGTTTTTTTGAAAAGATCAACAAAATAGACTGCTAGCCAGACTAATAAAGAAGAAAAGAGAGAAGAATCAAATAGATGCAATTAAAAAAAAATGACATAGGGGATATCAAACTATTTGCAACTTAACTATGAATATGAAAGACAAAATTATAAAAAGCTAGTTAGCAATCTCATTTTAACATGGAAAGTTCTGTGAGGTTTGGTAAATTGCTTGAGGTCAGAAGCTCTTAAAGAGTTAAGGTGGGATTCAGACTCATATCTGTTGACTCCAAACCATATTTGCCTTCCATTATGTCACAATGTTCCCTATTTTATTTAGGTTTAGTTGTTGTGCAACTAGCTGATTACTGAAGTAGAGGGTGGAGATCATATGTATTTCATTTAAGGAATTTACTTTCATTTAAGGAATTTATTTCATTTACTTTCTGATGAAGTAAAAAGGGGGAGCGTATTCTCTATTCTTCAGAAGTTTAGAAGATTAGAGACGGGAACTAACATTTGTAAGCACTTACTATGTGCTAGACACTATTGTAAGGACTTAACATGAACTAACTTATTTAATTAACAACAGCCAGGTGACATACTTGGTGTTATCCCTCATCTTTAAAACAAAGAAATAAACAAATTGCCTGAGATCACATAGCTAGTAAGTACCAAAAGCAGATTCAAAACCGTGTATTGGGAAAGGTTAGATAGGGTTTACACAATGTCTATTGACTTAATCTTTTTTTGTTTATTATTATTATTTTTTATTTTTTGAGACGGAGTCTCACTCTGTCGCCCAGGCTGGAGTGCAGTGGCACAATCTTAGCTCACTGCAACCTCCGCCTTCTGGGTTCAAGTAATTCTCCTGCCTCAGCCTCCCGAGTAGCTGGGTCTACAGGTGTGTGCCCCCGCGCCTGGTCAATTTTTTTTGGTATTTTAGTAGAGAAGACGTGGTTTCACTGTGTTAGCCAGGATGGTCTTAATCTCCTGACCTCATGATCCGCCCGCCTCGGCCTCCCAAAGTACTGGGATTACAGGCTTGAGCCACTGCACCCAGCCAACTTAAAATTTAATATTACACAAACCAAACAAATAGCTGGACAATTTAGTCTGAGCTCTGTTGCTATTAGTGTCATTTGTAAACATCTTAATTCAACTATTAGCAGTTAAATCACCTTACCAAAATAATATTTACATCTTAACAAGCTTTTCATTGTAATCAGTTTGAAAAAGTAATTTAGGTTACATGATCCTGTGGTGAAGAGAGATTTTAAATTCACAGAATAGTGAACAGCAACATATGATAGAAAGGACTTTGAGGTGGGGCTCAGATCTGGGTTCTTTCAATTCCCAGCTTTCCTGCTGACTCATGTGCTCTACGAGTATCTTTTTTTTTTTTTTTTTTTTTTGAGACGGAGTCTCGCTCTGTCGCCCAGGCTGGAGTGCAGTGGCCGGATCTCAGCTCACTGCAAGCTCCACCTCCCGGGTTTACGCCATTCTCCTGCCTCAGCCTCCCGAGTAGCTGGGACTACAGGCGTCCGCCACCTCGCCCGGCTAAGTTTTCATATTTTTTAGTAGAGATGGGGTTTCACCGTGTCAGCCAGGATGGTCTCGATCTCCTGACCTCGTGATTCGCCCGTCTCGGCCTCCCAAAGTGCTGGGATTACAGGCTTGAGCCACCGCGCCCGGCCTCTACAAGTATCTTAACCTGTTTTCATGTTTTGTAAGATAAGAAGATTGACTTCATTGTTCCCTAAGTCCCTTACAATGATACAATTATCCTATCAGTAGATTTTTAAAATGTGAATTTTTTTACATGTGAATAGCTAAGAATTTTTGGTTGAGAGAGAAGTCTTTAGAGATCACTTCATTAATTCCTCCCAGGTGACAGATGGAGAGACTGAGACCTTCACGTTTGTATGGCACTGTAAACATTTCAGAGCTCTTTGTTCTTTTACATACATTAATCTCATGTGAGCCTCATCACCATACTCTTGTGGGTTAAATACTATTCTCTTCATTGTATACAAGACCAGATTGAATTAGTCATATAGCTGGGCTAGATAAAGTGACTCTGTGACTCTCAACCGAGTTTATCATGTTTTCTTGCTTTAGTGAGACTAATTACATCCTTCATTGAAGTACTATTTTGTGAGAAAGTGAGAATTCAGTGATTTATGAAAAAATCCAAGCAGAAGAAACAAAACATTTTCTAACATGAAAGTAGTAATGACTACAGCTATGTAAATAGCAGTAACAAAGAGGAAAGGAAGTGGCAAGTAATAAGGTCTATGAGTTGATTTAATTTTGGTTTTCATTTATTCTTGGCTTAAGAATAAGCATAATTGACTTTTAATATCCTTGTGTTTATCAATAACATACTTTATCCTGACTAAATAATGCAAGGAGAAATCATACTTTATAATAAAGTATTCATAAATTGTAGGTGAGCTAAGGAAAATTTCCAACAGTTAATTTGAAAAGATACTTTGAAAACAAATAAATAAGCATGGGAAGCTAAGCTTTATGTAAAATTATTTAATTATTTCATTGCCTTTATTGAAGTGAGTTTTCTTTTTTATTTCCACTTTGTAGTTGTAGAGCTACAACTTTTTTGTAACTTTTTAGTATTTTTTTAATTGGAAAGAAAATAATTTTAAAACTAGTATATAGGCATGAGCAGTTTTTCTTTTACAATTTTTTCCCCAAATTGTCTCTCCTTTAAAAGGAACTGACTTTCTAGATTACGTGGTATGATGGTGCTTTCTCTGCAGATATGAAAATTTGATCATTAATACAATCTCTAGTTGTTGTTCTATATTAAAATGTTTTTTTTTTTAAGATGATTAACTGCATGTATTCTGTAGAACTAATAAAAGAAAGGAGGATCTCCCAGATGGTTCTAATCAAATAAGGAAAACAGCAAAGGATGGAGTTGATATACAACAAAATTTGAAAGCAACATTATGAGATTTGACTTATTTTAGAGAAGAAAAATGTATTATGTCCTTTCTGAAGTCTGTTTTTCTTAAGAGTCCATTATAATATTCTCTTGCCCAGCTGCTGATGTTCTTTCCTTATGCCCTGCTCTACAGAGCTCCACCTCTTATTGCGTACCCATTCTCACGCTATCACAGATCCATGGAATTCAAAATGATATTTGATGCAGACTTGAATAGAGCTAGTTTTTAATTCTCAACTCTATGTCTCACTTCAAAACGTGTAAAGGTTTTTTTTACAGCCACTTTTTAATGGTGCTTTAAAGGAAAAGATGAAGAGGCCCCTTCATAGTAATTAATTTTTTGATTTTTGTTTTGAGATAACTAAGGAGCTAGTTTCCTGGAAACTTCAAATTCCTAACACAGTTTCATTAAATTGTACCTATTGTAATACGATTGTGTCTTGCTAACCCAGATTGCAGTCAGTTTTAAGGACTACTGTTAGTTTCTCATTGGCCCATTGTGATTTAGTGTTCATAAAAAGGTTATGACATTTAACTGAGGGTTTAGAATTTTTCAAGATGACTGGGCTTTTTCCTGTGATCTGTGAGTTTCTCTTGTTTGGCTTTAGGCTTAAAGAATTCCTGATCTAGAGTCAACTGCAAGCAAGCCAGGCTTCCAGGCTGGTGTCCCATTCGTATTAAAACATTCCCTTTTTACACGTGTATGGCCTTGTGATTCAGAAGGCATGGTTTTAATACCCAGAGCCTTTTAACTTTTTAAACTATTCCAGTGAAGAAATTGCTGAAACAGTAACTTTTTTTTTAACAAGTCTTGTTGACAAATTCGTTAGCATTAAATTGTTTTTCCTAGCTATTGATTAGTTTTAATGTAGATTTATTTCTATGTAGTCTGCTTTCTGTGCCAGGATATTTTCTAAAAATGAGATAAGTTCTTAGATGTATGGAAATTTGAGGAACTCTTCGATGTCATATTCAGTAAACCTCAGGATGGCAATAAGGGAAATATGGAGCTGTTGATTTATGTGTATATGTATGTATGTGTATATTTGGGTTTGTGATCTAAACACCCAGGAAATAAATTTGATTTATAGCTTCTTTCTTGACCAAGTTATTTTAAAGTTTAGCATGGTGGTAGAATTATTTGGAAATATTGATTGGTTTTTTCTTTTGCAAGTGTATTGCTACTTAACAATTAAATGATTAAATGTAGCTCAGGGCTTTGTTTTATTTCTTTGTGTTGTATTTGAGAGAATTAAATGGGTTGATTCAGAGTTTTAAAAAATAGAAGTATAGGTAATAAAGGAAAATTACAGAATCTGTTGGCCTGCATTTGTAAGATCAGTCCACCTTGAGTTGCCCAGTTATTTGAATTTATCAGAGAAAAATAGTACCAAGTAAGTATAAATATTCAAATAGTTATTGAATATTTCATTAACATATATATGCCACCTTTAGTTTTCTTAATTCCCAATGTGAGAAATTTGGATGATTTTCGTAAATATTCAAAAATTATTCTGCTGTACAAAATTGGGAGTATTGTTGAAAGAGATAATAATTTGCTCTTGGGTCTTTTTATTTCTTTTATGAAAACCCATCTCCAAAAAAATTGAAAAGTTGCTAATTGCAATGAGGGTTTTCTATGAAGTTATTAAATGTGATTCTTGAATTGTATAAACTTCCTCAATAGCTTTGCTTATACTTATATATAAACAGAACATTTTAATATAAGATTTGGTAGTATAGTATGTTGCCAGTCTGCAGCTCTTCTATAGGAGAAATGAAGATCTTTGCAAAAGATTTGGGGACTCCAGATTTTCTATGTAAGGTTAAAAAAAAAAGTTTTTGATTATATTGAATGAATTCAGTAAAAATGACTTTCTTTTCTCCAGCAATATGAATATCATGTCTTATAAAAATTAATAACAATAGGCATCATTTGGCTGGCAGAAATAGCATTTCACATACTCTTTTTACAGCAAACTATAGACAAAGTCTGATATAATAAAGGAAATGTAATTTTTTTTTTTTTTTTTTTTTGAGATGGAGTCTCGCTCTGTTGCCCAGGCTGGAGTGCAATGGCAAATCTCGGCTCACTGCAACCTTCGCTTCCTGGGTTCAAGCGATTCTCTAACCTCAGCCTCCTGGGATTACAGATGCCACCCCACCTGGCTAATTTTTGTATTTTTAGTAGAGACAGGGTTTCACCATGTTGACCAGGCTGCTCTTGAAACTCCTGACCTCAAGTGATCCACCTGCCTCAGCCTCCTAAAGTGCTGGGATTACAGGTATGAGCCACCATGCCCAGCCAGGAAATAGAAATCTTGTACAGCTCTTATAGTCAGAAACCTGATTATTCCAGAGATGAGAGTGCTATCTAGTGATCATCTACACAAAGCTACTAAGTAAGGTCAAATGTTTAGAGCCCATAAAAGATCACATAAAACCAATAACAAGAATATTGCAAGCCAGCCCACACTGTGTGAAAGAAGTTTATAGAGTCCACTTGAGTGCATTAAAATATTTTGTGTTCCTTGTTAATTCTAAAATAATAAAAATTTAACAGAAATATGGAATAGGAACAGGTTTTAGAATAAGAAAAGGCTTCAGAAATCATTTGATTATCCCCTTTCATTTTGCAAAGTGAAACTAAGGGTGTGAAGCTACCTCCTCAAGTGTTATATAGGTGGCAACAGAACTAAGATTAGAATACACTTTATGTATATATTAAATAATTGAAGATAGAATTTGAAAAGTTGTGATGGGAAATTATTTTATTTTGTTGTTAGTTTTTAAAATTTATATACAGTAAAGCTAACCCTTTTTTTTTGAGATGGAGTCTCACTCTGTCGCCCAGGCTGGAGTACAGTGGCATGATCTCAGCTCACTGCAGCCTCCGCCTCCCATTTTCAAGCGATTCTTGTGCCTCAGCCTCCTGAGTAGCTGGGATTATAGGTGCCTGCCTCCATGCCCAGCTAATTTTTGTGTATTTACTAGAGACCAGGATTTCACCATGTTGGCCAGGCTGGTCTCGAACTCCTGACCTCAAGTGATCTGCCTGCCTCAGCCTCCCAAAGTGCTGGGATTACAGGCATGAGCCACCGTGCCTGGCCCAAAACTGACTTTTTAAATAAGTTCTGTGAGCTTTAACACATGTATGGATCCATATAACTACCACTACAAACAGGAAACAAACAGTCCCATCACCCTAGAAAACTTCTGGCTGTCCCTTTTTAGTCAAAATCTCTCCCTACATCTAACAATTACTGATCTGTACTTCATCATTATAGTTTTACCTATTCCAGTATATTGTATAAATGGAATTTTATTTCCTAGCCAAACTGTATCCAGCTTTATTAAAGATACTTAACATAAATAATCATGGTATTTCAGGCAGGACATGGGCAGAGAATCATTAACAGTATACATACAACAACTTTCAAACTCCCTTCTTCAATGGACTACCAAAAATCAGAAAGCCACTATAAACCCAATGAAGTCTTCATGTGATGCTGTGAACAGGGAAAGTTTAGAGTGAGGTTGACATTTCACATTTAAATATTGTTTAACAACTTTTCACAAGCCAATCCTGACTCAGGCAGTGAAATGAAATGGCAGAATTTATCTGAAGATCCAGTCTAGAAATGGAACCACTGCTCTTTTGAGGGGCTCCATCTCAGTGGTATCACTGGAACATCCAGATTGTCTGAAACACTGGTAACCAATTATTGGGGGTCAGATCCCAGCAGATGTCTGGGTTTAAGGAAGTTAAGTCTATGCTGAAAGGTGGAAAGGGAGAAAAGAACGTAAAAACAAATTTGTTTTTCCATCCGACAGGCTTTTGTGCCAAGGAAGCCATGTGTGTCTAAGTCAGGGAGTCCCTCCTCCTGAGATCCAAGAGGAAGTCTCTCAAAACTAGAAGGGAAAGGTATTTTCCCCATCAATCCAGCTTTGGAGACATTTTATTAGTGACATATACCCCTTCGCCCAAAAACAACAGTAAGTGTTCTGTGTACTAACAACATAGCTTTGAAAACACACACACACACACACACACACACACGCGCGCGCGCGCGCACGCGCGAGCACCTTGGGAGGCCGAGGCAGCCGGATCACTTGAGGTCAGTTCAAGACCAGCTTGATCAACATGGTGAAACCCATCTCTACTAAAAATACAAAAATTAGCCGGGTGTGGTGGCATGAGTCTGTAATCCCAGCTACTCAGGAGGCTGAGGCTAGAGAATGGCTTGAACCCAGGAGGCAGAGGTTGCCGTGAGCAGAAATCGCACCATTGCACTCCAGCCTGGATGATAGAGTGAGACTCCGTCTCAAAAAAAAAAAAAAACCCACAAAATTCTGCATTTTTATAAAACTTGATAAAAAATAGTATTTCAAACTGTATAGTCACCAGAAGTACACAGTTATCAAAAATGCACATGCTTCATTTGGCATCTCCAACACCCTCACCTTTCTGTGCCTGGTCTATTTTGGCATCTCTATTTTCTGCAGGCTTATTCTCCTTGCCAGTGTCAACTTTTCCCGTTTTTCCTTTGGGTACCTTCTCTCCATTCTTTGCAGGGGCCTTTTTAGGATCAGTCTCTGGCTTTGGAGGAGCAGGTTTAGCAAACAACCTCGCAGATCTTCTCTGTGGTTTGTCCCTCACCTTGACTTTATCTCCTTTAGCATCCCCTTCAGCCTTTCTCTTTGGCATGGTGGTGGTGATGCTGGCAGGACATAGGTGCATTGTGTGGGCTTTGGTCAGTCTGGGGATCGTTCTTGCTGCTGCTGCTTCACACTGCTCCTATAAATTGAATTATTATATACTCTTTTTGAATCTAGCTTTTCTCTCAGCTTAATTTTTTGAAATTCATATGTTGTGTGTATTAGTAGTTCATTATTTTAATTGCTGAATAGTATTCCATTGTATGACTGTATCACAATATACTTAATCACCTGTTCATGAACATTTCGTTTCCAATGTTTCTTCAAAAGACTTCATTTTTTTAGAGCAATTTTAGGTTCAACATCAAAACTGAGAAAAAGGTATAGAGATATCCCACACACCCTCGTCCCCACAAGTGTATAGCATTCCCTATTATCAACATCCCCACCAGAATGGTACATTTGCTACAATTGATGAACCTTCATTGAGACATCATAATCACCGCAAGTCCATAGTTTATATTAGTGTTCACTCTTGGTGTTGTACATTCTATGGGTTTGGATAAATGCGTAATGACAGCTGTCTACCATTCTAGTATCATATAGAGTATTTTCACTGCCCTGAAAATCCTCTGCATTCTGCCTGTTCATCCCTTTTCCTTCTCTGGCCCCTGACAACCCACTGAACCTTTTACTCTCTCCATGGTTTTAACTTTTTCAGAATATCATATAATTGGAATCATACAATATGTTGCCTTTTCAGATTAGTTTCTTATTTTCAGGTTTTATCTATTATGAATAAAGTTGCTATATTTTTTTTCTATTAGAACAAAAATATTTACTTACAGATATGGTGATCCTATTAGTGAGCTCTTAAATAGTTCACAAAATTAATTCACTTTTTAAACTTTTTATTTTGAAATAATTATAAATTCACAGGAAGTTGAAAACATAGTACAGAGAAGTACCATGTTTACTGTACCATTCACCGAGTTTCCCCTGTTAGCTCCATCTTATGTAGCTATAGAACAATATTAAAACCAGTACATTGACATTGCTGTAAAGCAAGTAGTATATCGTTCTTTGGTATTTTATCACATGTGTAGATTCATGTAACCAATACTGCAACCAAGATACAGAATTCCTTAACCCAATGATGTCCCTTTGCTGCCTCTGTATAGTCTCACGCACACCCACTCCCTTCCACCATTCCTCACCCTTGGTAACCATCTCTATAATTTTGTCATTTTGAGAATGTTATATAAATGGAATCATATAGTATAAAACCTTTGAGATTGGCTTTTTTTTACTCCGCATAATGCCCTTGAGATCCATCTAAGTTGAGATGTCAAGAATCATTCCTATTTATTGCCAATATAGTTAGTTTTCCACAGTATGGATGTGTCACACTTTGTTTTTTTTTGTTTTTTTGTTTTTTTTTTTCTGGCTTTCCTGCAGGTTACTTGAATACTTTTTAGCATTCAGTGTTTTAAAGTATATCTCTTTGTATGGCTTTTTTTCATCACTCTAGATACTACATTTTGTATGTAACAAATCATAGTTGGCTGTACTACAGTGCTACTTGGTGATGCTACATTTTATCACTTCCAGTAAAGTATAGAAACTTTTGCTCCCTTTATTCCCCCCCATTTAATTATCTTAACATTTTTAAATGTTTCTAATATATGTATATGTGTATATTATGTGCATGTTTACATATATATTTTATGTGTATTAATGGTTTTATTTTCTTTACATACATTTTGAACCGTATCGTACAGCATTATAATTTTTGCTTCAGCAGTCAAACATAATTTGAAAAACTCAAGTGGAACAGGAATCTGTTGTATTTATACATATTTTTCATCCTTCTGTCATCCTTCCTTCCTCGTTATCCACAATTCCTGGATTATTTGAGATCTTTTTTCATTTCCTTTCTGCTTAGAGAATTTTCTTTATTCTTTTAAAGCAGGTATGCTAGTGAGAAATTATCCTTTCTCTATAAATATTTTTATTTTTTTCTTCATTGCTGCAGGATATTTTTGCTGGATAAAGAACTCTGAGTTAACAAGTCTTTTCTCCTAGCACCTGAAAGATAAATCGTGCCAGTTCCTTCTGGCTTCCATGGTTTTTAATGAGAAATTTACTGTCGTTAAACTGTTTTTCCCCTCTAGGGAAAATGTTATTTTTCTGATGCTGCTTTCAAGATTTTTTCTATGTCTTCAGTTTTCAGAAGTTTGACTTTGATGTATTTTGGCATGGATTGATTTGGGGTTTACACTGTTTGGGGTTTACTTGGCTTCTTGAATCTGTAGGTTTATGTCTTTTGAGAACTTTTCAGTCATATTTTTTCAAATTATTTTTCAGTTCTATCCTTTTTTTCCTCTCCTTTTGAGACTCTGGTGACAGGAATGTTAGTCTTTTATTATAGTTTCACGAGTCACCAGAGTTCTGTTTGTTTGTTATTTTTTGGTTTGTTTTCTTCCTATTGTTCAGACTGGCAAATTTCTATTGTTTTATTTTTTACCATACTGATTCCTTCTTCTGTCACATCCATTCTGCTATTGAACCCATCCACTGACATTGATTTCAGTTATTGTAATTTTGGTTTTGTAATTTCATTATTTACATTCTATTTTTCTCTGCTGAGACTTTCTTTACTCAGGCTTTCTGTTCTTTTCATTTGTTTCCAGTATGTTGGTAATTGCCCGTTGAAGCATTTTAATGGTGGCTGCCTTAAAATCCTTGTGAGATAATTCTTTTTCTTTCTTTAAAAAATACATTTTTTTCTTTTCCTTTTTATTTTTTTACTTTTTAATTTTATTTATTTACTTATTTATTTGAGACAGAGTCTCACTCTGTCACCCAGGCTGCACTGTGATCTCAGTTCACTGCAACCTCCGTCTCCCGGTGCACCCATCACCCTAGAAGTACACGCTGTACCCAATATGTAGTCTTTTATCCCTCATCTCCCTCTTACTCTTCCTCCAAGTCCTCAAAGTTCATTGTGTCATTCTTATGTCTTTGCGTGCTCATAGCTTAGCCTCCACTTATGAGTGAGAACATACTATGTTTGGTTTTCCATTCCTGAGTTACTTCACTGGGAATAATGGTCTCCAATTCCATCTAGGTTGCTGCAGATAGTTTCCTTTTCCTACTTTATGTTTTTGTTTGCTTTGTCAAAGATCAGTTGACTGTAAGTATTTCACTTTATTTCTGGATTCCCTATTCTGTTCCATTGGTCTGTGTGCCTGTTTCTATTCCAGTACGATGCTGTTTTGGTGACTATGGCCTTATAGTATCATTTGAAGTTGGGTAATGTGATGCCTCCAAATTTGTTCTTTTTGCTTAGTCTTGCTTTGGCTATGTGGGTTCTTTTGGTTCCATGTGAATTTTAGGATTGTTTTTTCTAGTTCTGTGAAGAATGGTGGTGGTATTTTGATGGGAATTGCATTGAATTTGTTGATTGCTTTTGGCAGTATGGTCATTATCACAATATTGATTCTACCCATCCATGAACATGGGATATGTTTCTGTTTGTTTTGTCATCTATAATTTCTTTCAGCAGTGTTTTGTAGTTTTCCTTGCAGAGGTCTTTCACTTTCACCTCTTGATTAAGTATATTCCTAAGTTTTTTGTTTTTGTTTTTGTTTTTAACAGCTATTATAAAAAGGATTGATTTCTTGATTTGATTCTCAGCTTGGTTGCTGTTGATGTATAGCAGGGCTACTGATTTGTATACATTAATTTTGTATCCTGAAACTTTGCTGAATTCATTTACTAGTTCAGGAGCTTTTTGGATGAGTCTTTCAGGGTTTTCTAGGTATACGATTATGTCATCAGCAAACAGCGACAGTTTGACTTCTGTTTGCCAATTTGGATGCCCTTTATTTCTTTCTCTTGTCTAATTTTTCTGACTAGGACTTCCAGTACTGTGTTGAATAGAAGTGGTGAAAGTGGGCATCCCTGTCCTATTCCAGTTTTCAGGGGGAATGCTTTCAACTTTTTCCCCATTCATTATAGTGTTAGCTGTGAGCTTGTCATAGATGGTTTTTATTACCTTAAGGTATGTTCCTTCTTTACCAATTTTGCTGAGGGTTTTAATCATACATAAAGGGATGCTGGATTTTGTGAAATGCTTTTTCCACATCTATTGAGATGATCATGTGATTTTTGTTTTTAATTCTTTTTATGTGGTGTATCACATTTATTGACTTGCCGATGTTAAACCATCCCTGCATCCCTGGTATGAAACCCACTGGATCATGGTGGATTATCTTTTTGATCTGCTGTTGGATTCGTTTAGCTAGTATTTTGTTAAGGATTTTTGCATCTAT